TAATTAGCGCATAAAAAGAATTTTACTTCACATAGCTATATTTAGGTTTATCTTACAATAAAGGTCACAAATTTTTTGTTGTTTAAGGTAAAATTTTTAATTATTTAAAATATATTTTTTTTGACCCAACCTTTGCGCATTTTGCAACACAATATAGTATATAAAGAAACCACAGTTGGCTAGTTGGTATCAGTGCCACTTCAACCTCTAGTAGAGTTGCAAGCCATATTTTAGAAAGAAGAAAAATCCCTTCTTTAAATAAATTAAAAATATAAAATGCATATCCTCTCCTGTATCGCCGTCATCGCTGTAGCGCTCTTTGGCGCAGTACATGCAGGACATGAGCATGCCTCCAGCTATGCCTCAGTAGTACAGGAAAACATTCCTCACCACGCGGGTCACGACGAGCACAGCCACGGCTATGAACACCACGAGGAACACCATGAACCGCACCATTATCCCAAATACACATTCGAGTATGGTGTAAAGGACACACATACTGGCGATCACAAGAGCCAGTGGGAGCATCGTGATGGCGATCATGTTAAGGGTGAGTTAATTTATTTTCTATATATATATTTTTTTAAAATAATAAATGATATTAATATAACCCGCTAGGCGAATACACTCTGGATGAAGCTGATGGCACTAAACGCATAGTTGAATACACAGCTGACGATCACAGTGGCTTCAATGCGGTTGTAAAGCGGATCGGCCATGCTCATCACCCTGAGGTGCATCACCATGGCGACAGCCATCATGGCGATAGTGGCTACGGGCATGGACATTCAGCCTCTAGTTACGTCGAAATCAAACAACATCACTAAGCTAATACAAAGAGAATGGAATGTTCACACAGGATTAATTTTTAACCAAAGAAGTTTGTAAATTTATGTAATTCTTTAAAATAACATCTGCTTAGTTTTAGGCAAATTATTATCTATTAAAAACCAGAAGTTTCTTTAAATAGTTGGGTTCTATTTATCCTGCGAATATTTGCTATTCCGTATTTTGGGTGTGATTTCAATTTAACTCCATTTAGAGCTGACGCATGTGGCTATGTTAAACCACAATAACCACCATATTCCACGAAGAACCTTCGAGAAGTTAGGACCATCCTCCTAGGTCTGCTATCAGTTGATATTCAATTCTGCTCTGAACTGTTGGCCAGTGGCTTATTGCTCTGCCTACCCAAATCTCTCATTTATATAAGCGTTTAAAAAAGCCTAAAACCAGTGTGACCAGATGATCGCCAAAACTGATGATGAAAATCCGTTTTTAAAAAAGGTTAGAAAAAGCTATACTCCATTAAAATTGAAGTTAAAAAGAAGTCAGTATATTCATTCTTTAAAAAATCGATAAGTTTCCCAAAAACCGATTTTCCGGTGCAAAGCTCTATGTTGTATTTCCTGTCAAAGTTAACCAACTTGGGCCTATCATCTCTGGGGAGCAACGCTAATATAATTTGGGAGCCTAGCTTGTATCTGTTCCTGGGTAATAGGGTTATGCCTCTGCCAAAGCCTTCTCTCGTGAAGTTTAGTACAGTTCGCTTTGCTACCTGTTTTATGGTAAGGTGTAGGGGTTAGAGCTCGAGAATCAACTCCAACGCTGTCGTCGGACATGTGCGCGTTGCCGTCGTAGTTCATACACATGCCAGACGTTGAAGCTTGGTGAGGGATTGCCTTACCGGGGAATGGGTGGTTATCGAGATCCAAGCCACTGCCCTGTAAGTAACTATTGGTCTAACTATCATGGTATACATCCATTACAGGTTCTTGGGACTACAGCCCCAATTCTTCCCGGCCAGACCTTTACATACCATAAGTACCCTCGAAGCTTTGAAAGCTCCCATACTTGCACTTTATTATACCCAAAATGTTTCTAGGAATTCTAGTTAAAAATCCCGAAACATAATTTGTGTTATTATACGAGTGACAAACGGGCTCGCTTATCTGCATAAATAGCCTTTATTTGCATTAATTCATGCCTGCATTTTCCCCTTTCAAATGCGCATAAGCAGCCGAACAAATGCACGAAATTTTTGGAAATTAACTCGGATCAGGGGAATTTTCGATGACAACACTGGTAAAAACGGCCAGCTGTTGTTCTTTGTACAAGTAAGCAAACAAAGCAAGCAAGTATGGCGTCCGTGGTAGCCGAGTGGTGAGAGTTGCATGCTACAAGCCTGTAGCTGCCAGGTTCGATGCTCGGTTCGAGCGATTGCCAACAATTTTTTTGTTTTTAGTTTTAGTTTATTTTAATTTTATTTTATTTGATTTATACATTTAATTTTACTTAATTTTTTTTATCTGTTTTATTTCAAATCACATTTTTTATTTTACCATTAGTTAATTTCAACTTTTAGAGTTCAATTTTATTAAAAAAGTCAACAACAACTGAAAGCAATCAATAAAAAATATATAACTAATAAATGAATGCATAAAAAAGAAGTAAATGAACATTCTATCGGCCGTGGGACTCGAACCACAATTTTAATCAGATCAACTGCCCCGTTAATTCGGATCAACGCTGGCGTCTGTCTATGCCTTTATTAGATAACAAGCTATACTTGCATACAAAAACAACAAACATTAAATAAACAAAAGAAAGCCAACTAAACCATTTTAAAATGTCGCCTCTCTACCCATTTATAGTTCCGGCGCTGTACACGCTTTTGTTGCCACACATTTACCCAAGAAAATTCCATATGCCCTGCAGATTTTCAGACATAAGTAAATAGATAAATTCTCAATGAACTTTGCAATAATTTGAGAGTCGAATACTTTATAGTTTCACTTTCGCATGCTCATTGTTTTTGTAAAGTTTTATATTCTTCCACTTTTATTTTCCCTTTTAATCGCCAACTGTTTGCGAAAACATCTGCTTTAAAATTTTTTTTTTTGTTTACAAAAATTTATGTTTCCACTAACAAGTGAGTTGTACCCATAAACAAACAAAAACTATAGAGCTGGTATTTTTACGCAGCATTGTCTTCGAGCGTACACGCACAGATGCAATGCCGGAAATATTTGATAATATAAACGGCCACTTTAGTGTTTTTTATTATACTTTTCGTGTTTATTTTCTATTCAATCAACAAAAATTGGCATCTTCANATTTTGTATGAAAGTGCGTCTGCTTGTCATTTTTATTGTTGATTTGTGTACAGTTGTGCGTGCGTGAGCTTTTAAATTTATGCGCTCGTAAATTTTTACTCTCGCTGAATTTTAATTATTAGTTTTTTTCGTTTTCTTCTCTACACGCAATCACAAAGCTGAGGCATCATAAAGCCCGGCATCAGCAACATGTTGATAACAAACAGATATTTCGCAACACCACTCACACAGAAATGTATAATTAAATTTTTGATTCCATTATAATTATTACAAACTATTTTATAGGTCTATGGAGTATTAAAATAAGAGCACGAGTGGGATAATTTCGTGAACTAAACATTTGTTTTTATTATTACAACACAACTTACATGCATACATATGTACATACGACTTTGGTTAAGTCAGCAGAATATTTGACACAGTTTGTTTCTCAGTGTTACATCATGTGAAATTTTATTTGATCCATTTCTCTTAATTTATTCTAACGACAGCCCTTCCAAATGTTTATGAGAGACCGCAGTTTTAAAAGTTGAGGCTATTAACGGCTTTGTGTAATATGAGCAGATTGTAATGGCACAGCAACACGCAAAGTTTACGAGCAATTAGCGTAGAACTATCTTAATTGTCAATATTTATTTGAAGATCCTAGATTAAAGATGACATTGAATATTACGTCTAAAATTTGTATTCATGAACTATTTAAATAATATTGGGAAATGCAAAAAAAAAAATTTTGAGTACGGGAAGTGTTCACAGGCATTATTTGCTGCTGTAATCCAACAATAAATAAGATAAGGTTTTCTAAAGTCTTTATAGCCAT